CTTCTACAGCTCTGCAAGGGCCCTGCATCACCAGGTTCTGGCAGGACTTGCAGGGACTGTGTGCCCCAGCTCCAGCAGCACATATGACATCTCCTGCAGTGCATACAGTTTCTCTGAACCAGGCTCCAGTAGCAGGAGTAGTTTCTCCAATACTCAGTCCCTGAAGAACGGGCACCAGCTCCTGCAGTTTGCTGCAACCAGCATGCCCAGAGGCCAGCAGCTTGCCCCAGAACCTCTTCAGGTGACTTCAAAGTGGAATGCTGCAAGTGAAGCACCTCCCTGTGGGCAGGCTCCCCTAGGTCCCCCTGGGGGTATTTTGCAGATATTCTAAGGTATTGCATCTCCTTGTGGGTAGCTGTGATACTGGAATAGGCCTGCTTGTCACTACCAAAAAGCCAATAAACAGAGACAAGAATTGAATCTATAAGCACTTTTATTTTTCAGATTGCTGAACAGCGATCTGAGAGAATGGCGGGCATATCACCCTGAAAAATTCTTCTGCCATGGCCACTCATCTGAGAGAATGGTGGGCACAGCACCCTGAAGAAATCGTTCTGACATCCCATCTTGAGCTGCCCTTTTTATATTAAATTAAACAAAGACAGTTAGTCATAAGCAAACAGCCCACCGGAACAGCCTGTCTCAGTTGACGTTCCTGGTATTCGTCATGTTCAGCCCCCAGAATTTGTTATCAGCTTGTTATCTTGACCCTGGTACATCGGATGGCCTGGCACTCATTCAGGCATCATCAGAGCAGGAATCTCAGTTTAAAGCAAGAGTTTTAGTGTAAAGAAGACCGATCATTAGTCACATGTGTAATATATAGGTGTGGCCTATGCTATGTGTGTGCAGATTCCTATACCAGGCTCTACCTCAGAGGGGGGATTTCCAGCAAGTCCTGCTGGCACAGTCCTTCAAAGAAGCATCTACTAGCCAATAAATCATCTAATAAGTCATAACCACAAATTCTCTAACAAGGTCTGGATCATGCCTTGGGAGAGAGGTCCCAGCATTGGGCTGTCTATTGCAGTCTTAAAGGTGGAACTGTAGTGTCGGCAACAACACACTGATAAGGAAATGGGAGTCATGGAGCAGGCTGCACAATGCAGGATGCTGCTGAACAAGCAGGATCCTGGCCTTTTTATTGACAGAATAATCATATAGCATCAATTACGTAGGGTAGGAGAAAAAAGAGAAAAAGGGTGATGAAACTGAAAATGTGCTTATATTATCTAGAGCTTCAAGGGAGACTCATACCCCCTTCTGACCAGATTTTTTTTTTAAAAGATTTATTTATTTATGTATACAAGAGCCTGGGTATAGGCCAGAGGTGTGGGGGGTGAGAGGATTCACCAGAGACAAAGTGGGAAACAGAACAGGCAGACTGACTGAAACACACTACTGAGGGGAGCAGCAGGCGAGACAGGAGAGGTCTGCTGTGCCATGTGGGTAGCTCCCTGGCAGGCCAGGGATCAAACTCTGCTGCAGAGGCTGCGGATTACTTCATAGTGCTGTGCTTAACCCCTTGCGCCACCAGGGAGGCCCAGTGACCAGATATTTTTTATCTGCTTGACAACCCTGTATTATAATTGAATCCATACCCTGGACCCCAGCTGTGGTTCCAATCTTATTGACAAGGCATTCCACTGATCAGTCTCTGGGTCCACGGTTACACACCAGTCAATGGCCCCCTGGGTGTTCCTGGTCATACCTCATGAGATATGCCCATTATCCCAGGGTGATAATGTGTCCTGCTTTTGCTTAATTTGAAAGGAGCCATGTAGGGTCTGGTATCCTACATTCTTTTAGGTCATGTAACTGACCGGCAGTTTGACCTTGTATTGGAGGGCAGAGATGCATGTAACTGAAATGGTGGTCGAGCAGGCCACTTAAGTCTATGCTTAGAGCCTTATATCTGCTACTCCTGCTTTTGTTTTTACAGTTCTTTTACAGTTCAACCCCTTGTTACTCTCATCCTCTCTTGTGGCTAATAATTTTTATATTAAACTTTCTCTGTTCAAATTGCCATGTGGTTTTTATCCTCTGGCTAATAGAAGAGTAGTCTCAGAGAGAGACCTGTAAAAATGGGTTGTGGGCATTGGTGTGGTTATGACCTTGGTTTTGAGTGCAGTAAGGAGCTCCTTACCAATGGGAAAGGGAGGGCTAATAATCCACTGCATCACCACTGCATCAATAATCCAACCAACCATCACCCCACTTCATTGTGATGAAGGCAACCGGAACAAGCACGGCTTTAGCAAGTCTGGCTTCTCCAGCGGCCTGCAGCCCAGCGCCATCCATTCTCTCCAGCACAGCATGGACAGCTTCGTGGCAGAGTGCCACAGCCAAGGTTGATCGCCATGAATGCATTCCCAGGTGTCCCAGGCAACTTTGAGTGAGTTCTGGCATCTCTCTGTGGATGACTTGCTCCACACCCAGAGTACACACTTCCAAAAGTCCTGTTGGCGCCACACCTCGGCAACTTCTCTGTCACTCACTGAATCCTGGCCTGGTCCTCTCGATGAGGCCTGGGTCTCAGCCTAGGGGAAGAGAGCTCTTTCTTGGGCTGCCTCTCTCAGCCCTAAGAGTAATGGTTCCACTTTATATCTGCTGTTCCTACATTCTTTAAGTCATACTTCAAACACACACACACACACACACCACACACACACACACACCAGTTAGTCAAGGACTATCAGCTTTCTCTGGGTAACTAGGAAATAAAGGAACTTCTCTCAAAACCGTCAGGAGTGAGGTAGAGAAGTTCTTCCAAAGTATCTCCACTTTTCATCACTCTAGTCTCAAGTTCAGAGTTCTTGATAACCCAGCTGAGCCATTGCCCCTGACTTCTGACTTCCTGTGAGATCATGAATTTTTTTCATGTTCTGGTCATTTTCACGTGGCAGTTGCTTCCTTGCAGCCAAGAATACAGGCCCTGACCATCCTTTACGGAAGAGGAAACAGAATCTCAGAGGGTTTAAGTATCTATCTCCAGTTAAGAACCACGTCTGTCTGACTCCAGAGCCCTTATATTTAACCTCGACGTTGCATTGAGCAGCTGAGGGCTGGTTTCTGACATGCTGCCTGACTGTGCTTATTTCCAAGCACAGGTGCCGGAAGCCTCAATCAGCATCTTCCCTTGTCAGGCATGACCCAGATTAGCTTTGGGAGAAGCCACTGCCAGGAACTGGCTTGTCTTCCACTGCTTCTCTGCCTTCTTAATTGCTGTCCTGTCAAGATAACTCACATGGGTGGAAAAAAGTCTTCTTTCCACTTGTCTGTGGCTTTGGCCTCTTTTGCCCACACACCTTGAAGGTATCACACAGCATCACTTTTTGATGCCTCCTTGTGGGGATGAATTCTGAGTCTAGGCCTCTGGCTTGCAGAGACAAGTGGCATGAAAGGCTCTTTGTTCTGTCAAACTGGTTCATCTGAGCCCAGAAGAACTGAACATTCTGCTCACTTTCTGTCTTCCTGCCTTGGAAGTCCCAGGGTTCTTGAACTTTCCAAACTCTGGGTACCTGTGCAGTGGGAACCATTCAATTTTCATGCAGTTGAGATTCTAGGTCACAAGTATAAGTATGACAGGCATGAATGGCTCCCCAACATCTTTTCTAACCAACTCTACATGTAGCAAGATGGCCACTTGTGGGGTCCAACAGAAATGGATCCTGATTAATTGAAATCCACTCTGAATTTGTGTGAGATGGACTAGCTGTTCACCTATCCACTTCCTTTTCCTCTGGGCACACAACAGGCAACATTTCTGGATCCCTTGCAGCCATGTGTGGCATGTGGCTAAGTTCCAGTAGTGAGAGGGTAATGTTGGACACAAGGGTAATGGACACAAGGGTGAGAGGAGGCCTTGATTGTAGTGTTTGCTGATTTCCATGGTATGAATGTTCCAGAATGACTGATTTAAAGATACTAATGTGATGTCATTGAAAGTGGAGCTGAGCACAGGTGCGTGGTTGGTATAAAGTACTCCAAGCATATGGATACAATAACTACATGCAGCTCTAGAACTTAGATAGAAGTAAAAGGTGGTAAAATAATTAGGAAGTGATAAGTTTTAAGTATATATTATTGTCTTGTTTTTATATAGGTTATTTAATGTTTATATAATTTAATTTTATAATGTCTGCTCACAAAATTCCTGAATATTTAACCATAACCTCTCATTAGCCGGTGGGGGTTGACCCCAGCACCTGCTGCTAAGTTCTAACCCAGTGCTGTGCACCACTTCAGCCTGGCGCACAAAGCCTTCCTACATGCAACACTCCCTGGTCTTTCCTCTCCTGTCAGTCTGATGCAGACAAGCATGGTGACCTGGGAGATGTATGAGAAAGGAGATAGAATTAGATGGGAAGGTGTCAGGTTATAAATATCCACTTGGCAGAGAGTTTCCCATGGATCAAGAACACCCATTTGGATGTGATGTGAGCAAGACATAAAGTTCTATTCTGTTAGGGGCTTTCTTCATTGTAGAGCAGGGAAGGAGATCGCAAGGGTACACCATTAGCGATAGAGAGACAGACCCAGTGGGCCAGTTCACACTGTCAGGATCATAGTAGTTTCAGTGGAGGAAGTCCTAAGTGATCCAGAGGATAAGTCACTTAGCTGTGCAACCTTGAGGAAGACACACCACCTCTCTGAGACTGTCTTCCCATCAGCCCTCTGCCTGAGTGGCAGAAAACTGTAGTAGTTAAGATTACTGGCTCTAAAATCGACAACTGAGTCCTTGGCTGTGCCTTTTCCTGCATGGGGCAAGCTCCCAAAAAGCGCCAGCTTCTATATCTGCAAAATGAAAATAAGAGTGCCTATGTAACAGGGTTATTGAGACAATTAAATGAACTGGCATTGAAAAAGGGTTTTTAACTGCACTAGGAATATAGCAAGCACTCAATGAATGTTGGCTATTGTTTTTATTACCTTAGAGAGGATTGTGCATTATATTACATTTTATATATATCCATATATAACTGCTATAATATGTTATATTGTATCCCATATAATTCACCTTAGAGGATCAGCTCGTCTGGTTATCTGGTTATCTAATGATACATTACATTCAAACCATTCCAAAATGAAGTGGCTTAAAATCACAACCTGTTACTTTGCTCACAACTTTGCAGTCTGGGCAGGGCTTCTGTGGGTTGGCTCACCTCAGCTCCAGGCAGCATTAGTTGGGGAGGTATAAGTAGGATGGAGGGACTCACTTACAAGATGACTCATTCCCAGCAGGTTGCTGCTCCCTGGTGGCTAAGGGCTCAGCTGGGGCTATAAATCGTTGGTCTCCATTATTTCAAATGGTCCTGACCAGATAGCTGCTTGGGCTCCCTCACAGCATGGCAGCCAGGCGCTCAGAGCAGGTACTCCAAGAGACAGACTGTGAGACTTCCAGTCTCCTAAGGTCTTGACCTGAAATTGGGTACAACTTCACTGTGTAATACTAGTCTATGGTCTGACCTGGCCAGATATAAGGGGAGGAACATAGGTCCTTCCTCTTGAATGGTGGTCAAAGAATTTGTAGCTATCTTTCAGACACTACAGGTGGTTTGTGTATTTATTCTAGGTATTAGTTCCAGGTTCACACCTCCCCACACATACTCCCACAAATGTAGGTGGGCCAGCTTCTTCCCCAAAACATGTCCCAACCAAGAAATAGATGACCAAAGAGAGAAAGAGAGGTCCCTCCAACTGGATGAACTTGTTTGAGATTCAGCAGGGGAGAGCGTGTGAGTACCCCATCTACCGAGATCCCTGCACACATGCTTCTTTGAGGGCCCAGCATCCCTCGTGGTTTCATGCTTCCCAGTGCAGGTAAGGGAGTCCATTGCTCTAAATCAGAACAGTGAGGCACACAGGCTGCGGGGCCTTGGGGTGGCTTCCTAATCTCCTGCTGTTTTAAAGATATCATTTGGAAAGTGGGCCTGATAACCCTGACATCACAAGGTCATTCTGAGGATTAATTGAGGTCAGAAGCAGGTAGAGCACAAGTAAATTAACAAGCAACCAACCGAGCTGATTTTTTTTCAAAATGCGGCCTATTTTTCACTTCAGAAACAGATCTTCTGTTGCTCTCCAGTTCCCCACTCCATCAGGCTGTGGCGAGTGGGTAGAGGTTAGGAGTCTTTAAGTAAGCCTCTCTGAGGTAGGAAACTGTCCACACACACTGTAGAATGATCTCAACTGTGTTAGAGAGAGAGATGAGAAGAAAATATGCAAAATGTTAATGTTGGTTGACCCTGAAGGATGGAACAGTAGGTGATATTTTTCCCCTACTATTTCTTGATAACTTTTCTTCCTATGTCCACCACCTTATCAGTTTCTGTGTTACTTATATAATAAAGACATATCTATAATATATAATGAGTAAACATAGCCGGTACCCTTCCTGCCCACCTCCCCACACATACTCCCACGCAAGTTTGTCTTCCTCTACAACAGGCTCTCTCAAGATGTTGCCCTGGGAGCTTTGGGCCAGCGATTCTGCCTTCTGGAAGTAAACCATGCATCACAGGATGTTTATCATCCTTGCCACTCGCCCACGTAGCTGCCAGTAGCACTCCCAGTGTCAACCAAGAACACCCCACGTTATGTAGTGAAAAAATATTCTTATTCTCCAGAGAAGCATTTGGGGTGAAATGTCAGGATATGTGTAATTTACTTTTAACTACTTCAGAAAAAAATAGATTAAATGATTATGGCAAAAAAAAAAAAAGACAAAAAACCCAAAACACATAACGACTGAGGGATCTGGTGATGGATAAATGTGTGTTTGCTCAGTTATTCTTTTTACTTTTCTGTTTTAAGAAGTTCATAGCAAAATCGAGGCGGGAAATGCCCCTCCTATTTCAAAGGCCCCTTATTAGCATGGTTGTACCCCAGAATGGAGACTGTGCCTTCATTTTGTATCAGCTCCTTTTACATAACATTGGGTCTGATGATCACTTTTAAACTTTTTATCTTCAAATGGCTCCTCCTTGGTTTCCTCCTCCCCAAGGCGACATGTAGAGATCATGTGCTCATGGTAATGGGAAGAGGTGGCCCTCATATTGTCCTTTGGGGTCTTGTTGGTTTCCCCAGGTGCCCTAGTCCTGCCTGGTCAGTGGTTTTCCTGCTGCCATGAGCTGCTCACGTCCACAGCCATAGAAACGTGATCCTTTCTCACTGGCACCGACTGGACACGCCACCTCTTCCCTAGGCATCCAAGCGCTTCTGGACCTCAGCTGCATTCCCCACCCAGCCCTCCCTCAGCTGGCCACCCTCCTACTGCTCAGCCTCACTGTGTTTCAGTGGGGGGAGCCCGACCACCACCGTAGCTTACATGTATGAGGCGCTCATAGATCTCATGTCCTCTCATCAGCAAACGCTCCCTGAGTGCCCACTCTGTGCCAGGCATTGTGCTAAGGTCTGCTCCTGCCTGAGTTCATGAACACACCAGACGCCTGTGGACATGTGATAAATGAGTATCAAGCAGATTGAAAAAGAAAAACAATGAGTTGATATGTTCTGATAAAGAAAGATATCCAAGAAAAGGCAAGTTTCAACGTCCTAGGTAGGGTAGGCTAAGAGATCTGTTCCACCAAAAGAAAAACAAATTGTAATGAGAACTGAAAGCAGCACACTTTTGGACCCCTGCATTAAATAACACTGGGACTGAATAATAATAATTTAACTCATTTCTCCAGGAAATACCTACTCTTGGAAAATAAGATGGAACTAACTAGCCACCTTACTTATCAAAACAGAAAACTCACTTATCTAGACTCACTTCCTCATGGGTTCACAAATTTTTTTTAAAGATTTGTTTATTTATACAAGAACTGGGTAACAGGTCAGAGGCGCGGGAGAATGAGAGAATTCACCAGACAGAGCAGGGAGCAGAACAGGCGGCAGACTGACTGAAACACACTGCTGAGGGGAGCAGCAGGTGAAGCAGGAAAGGTTCACCATGCCATGTGTGTTTCTCCCTGGCCAGCCAGGAATTGAACCCGTGCTGCAGAGGCTGCAGACAGCTGCACAGCGCAGCACTTAACCCGCTGCGCCACCCGGGAGGCCCGGGTTCACAAATTTAAAGCTCATATGGCATCATTCTTCCCAATCACAACCAGTTACCTGCCTTATCCAACCCGCCTTGAAACCACCCAGTGCAGCGTTTTAAAACCCTTTAAGTCCTTCCCCCATGTCTTCACTTTGAGATATTACAAAGACTTTTTCAAGGTGTCATTTTTCCTTTCTTCACTAAGTTTAATTTGCTTAGTTTGCTTTGACCATGTTTTCCTAGTGACCTTTTAGGGAATCAATGATCAATACTTGTGATTTCCTATGCACTGAGCTGACTGCCTTATACACTGATGCTGCTCAGGGAGGTATCTAATGTCATGGTTCCCATTTTACAGTTGAACAAACTGAGGATTAGAATTTGAAAATCTTGCCAAATATGACACAGGGAATAAGCAGCAGAGACCACAACAAACCCAAGAAGTCTGGCCCCAGAGCCTGAGAGTATAGCCCTCCAATCTTGCCTCTGTGCTAGTTATATTGACTATACAACAAATTACTCAAACTCCTGGTTTGACAACATCATTCATTTTGCCACAAATCTCCAGTGTCAGCAGGGCTTGCTGGGGAGAAGGCCCCTACTCCACGCAGCACCAGCTGGGGCTCCAGTGCTGGAACCTGGAATCATCTGGAGGCTCACTGCACTGCTTATCTGGTAATTAATGCTGAGCATCGGCTGGGCAATCAACCAGCATACCTGCTTGGGACCTCTCCACGCAGCCTGGGCTTCCTCAGAAAGTGGTGGCTGGATTCTCAGAGTCAGCATCTCCTCAAAGAGATTTTTGGGTGAAGCCATATTGCCTTTTATGAGCTGGCTTCGGAAGTCATGGGGAATTACTTCTGCCACATTCTGTCTGTCAAGGCAATCACAAAGCCCTCCCCAGGCTCAAGGAGAGAAGAAATAGACTCCCCTCACCACGGGGAGTGCAATGTCAGGAAGAGCATATGAGAACAGAAATATTGCTGTGTGGTCCTTTTAGGAAATGGTCTTCCAGAACCACACATTCAGCACGCCTGCATGTAAAGTCAGAAATATTGTATTACACAGGTTGCTGTGGGTTGTCGCTGGGGCTAGCAGGGGCTCACTGTCCCCTGTGTTTGGATTTTTATAACAAGTGTGTAAAACACTATGGCAACATTATTTTTCTGAGACTAAGCATCCATTTTCAAAAGCTCACACTAAAAATACACTGACCATTACCTAATTCTCCTCCTATTTCTGCCTCTTGCTGCTCTGCGTTGTGCTCCAGGATGCTGACTCTACAGACTGCATGACCTGGACTCGTTTGCCCTCTGACCCCTGGCTGGGTTGGCCTAATGAGACTAAAGGAAATGAGAGGGTGAGAGGAGAGAGAGGGTGGGGTACTTATTCTTCCTCCCCACCTGCCCACTGTTTCATAATGGCTCTGTTCCCCTTTGGCCCTGAAGGTCTGCCGGGCAGCCGCTCCCCCATGGCTGCAGGTCTCATGGGCTCCTGTAACACTTCCCTCATCTCCGTCAGACCCAAGAGTGGTTAATGACTTGTGTGTTTAGTCCCCGGGATGCCTCACCATCCCTGCGGGTTCTCTTAATCCCATTTATTCCTCTGTAATTTTCTCTTCATTAGACTCTCTTCAATTAAATCCTATAAATGTACTCTCTGTTCCATACCAAGCCCCTGACTAATCCAGCAGAGCGCTGATGGAGACAAATATGACAGCAATGACATTACATTGTATTGATTGCTGTATGATAGGAAAAGATTATATGGGGCTCACTGGAGGAGCTAGGGAAGCTTTCCCAAAGAGAGAGATACTTCAATTGAGATTTTAAAAAATGAGTCAGTGTTCATCAGTTTGTGAAAAAGAAGAACTTTTTAACCGAGAGCTCCATGAATAAAGAAAAGGGCCCATTGAGGTTGGGTGACTATCCATGGCCCAGCACAGGGAGCAGAGTGGACTCTCACCATCTGATGCCCCATCACACCACAGACAATGTTTGTTATATCAGTGGAGATATTTTTGGCTGCACACAACCAGAAAAAAAATGACTGAAGCAATAAGGAAAATGTACTATTTAATGCATTTATGTAATCTTGTTATATAATAACAAGAAGACCAAGGTAAGGAGACTCCCAGGCTGATTAAATTAAGTCAGATGGTCAACAAAGTCATCAAGAAGAAGATCTAGGGCTTCTCTGGTGGCCTAGGGGCTAAATCTCAGTGCTGTCACCACTACAGCCTGAGTTCGATCCCCGGCCAGGGAGCTGACCCACATAGGGCACATCAGATCTCTCCTGTCTCTCCCGCTGCTCCCCTCAGCAGTGTATTTCAGTAGATCTGCCTGTTCTGCTCCCTATTCTGTCTCTGGTGAATCCTCTCACTCCCTGCACCTCTGGCCTACAACCCAGATTATTTAGGAAGATCTAAATAAATGGAGAAATATCTATAGAGTGAGAGACTAGCCATTGCTGCATCGATCCTCTTCAGATTGACTTATAGATTAATACAATCAGATTACTATAAGGTTTATGTGTGGACATTATGAAAGTATTTCTAAAATATGTATGGAAATACAAAGGACCTAGAATAGACTAGCAGTCTTGGGGTGGGGGGGCGGGCAGGGGAGGAGATACACCACCAGGTATCAACACTTAAGGTTACAGTCATTAAGCCAATATGGTATTGATATAAGGATAGACAAAATAGACCAATGGAACAGAATCCAAAGTCCAGAAATGAACCTAAAAATATATGTTCATTTGATTTACAACAAAAGTGCCACTGCAATTCTGTGTGGAAAAAAATTAATAAGTCTTCACCTTACATCATACATACAAGTCAATGTGATGTACTTCACAAAACTCAATGTAAAAAAATTACAAAGAAACATGCTTCCAAAAGAGAACAGGAAAATAAATGATCTTGTGGGTAAGCTGTAGGCACACAATTTCCTAGCGTGGCTGCCCTTTCAAGAAAACCTTCCTCACCATCTTCATTACCTTGTGTCATCTAATTTCTAGCCATAGTGTGGATGAGTGTGCCTGGTACACATGTCCATGCAGGTGATATGACCACACTGTAGCTGCAAGGGAGGCTTTGCAGAATTCAGAATGGCCTCTGCCTGCTATGAAGACTCATAACATGAGAGATTCTCTGAATGTAGCAAAGAGGTTCAGATGCAAAGTGGCCCCCAAATGAACACTATCTCATGGGTTAAGATTGACAACTTAGACACTTCACTTCCCCCTCCTGACAGTTGCTAGCATCTGTTGCTGAATCAGAGGGCCAAGGTGATTGCCTTGGCCTCAACCTCTCTTTACCAAGTTCACGTTCACATTATCCAGCAAAGCTCAGTAAACCAGGCCTACTGGGTAACTAAGGACAGAGGCACAAAGAGTTTTAATAATTGCCCTGTCTTCCTTTTTTTCCTTTTCCCAGTCAGCTGGCTCTGCCTTCTGCTGAGCTTTGAAGTATAATTCAAAGGCCTGAGCTGATTTACTCCCAAGCACCTATCCAGCCTAGCTCTCAGCCCAATTAACAAGCATTTTCTCCTGAGACGAGGGAAGCAGGTGCAGGGGAAGTCATTTCTCAGCTCTCCAGACAGGCTGCTGGGAGGAGATAAGCTTTTGCACCCAGAGGCAGCAGATACATCCCTCTATAGGAGATAAGGAAGGTGTACAGAGGGCTGGGGAAGAACCAAAGGGTCTTCTAACCCTACGGGAGGCAGGGGGTCAGGAAGACCACAAGAAAACCTGATATTCCAGATGAGTCTGGAAGGAAGAGTAGGACTTAACTCTGGAAAAGGAAAAGGTGCTCCAGTCAAAAGTACCTGGGAAGGTGAGCAAAGGCCAAATATACTCAGAGAACAAGCCCAGGCAGAGAGCTTAGAAGTCCAGTCAACATGGGGCTCATCACTTCTTAGGGCATCTCAGACCCCCTAGAAGAATCTGATGGGTTCTACCCAAGACTTGAAGCCATAGATACAGAAACTGGCACCCAATGTCAAAATGAGGCAGGGATCCCAGATTAGGAATCCTTTCCACAGTCAACCTTTCATTTGCAGATACACAGACTCGCCCAGGGTAGGGCAAAGAGGGGCCATCACAGCAAAGCACTGCTCCCACAGCAATATTTTCTTGGGTCTGAAGCAGGAAGTTGCCCAAGTCTGCTGCTTGGGGGAATCTGCTCCTTAGATTCTGCTGCTTGCTGGAGTGGAGAAATTGCTGGGTGTACTGCACTGCTTGTTCAGAGTGGGAGCCATGGCTACCTTTACCCCCTTCCTGAACAATAAAGAATGTTTATGTTGTGATGGATGGGATAGCAAGTTTCCTCATACAAACTGCCATTTTTACTCTTGGGTACTCAGCCTTTGGGAGCTATCCCACTGAGCCCATAGGTATGACAAGTAAATCTCTCTCTCCACCTCTCTGAGTGCCATCTGATTTCTCTGGGAAATTGCCGTAACAAGTCCTCACTCATTCAGATTAGAAACTTACCTCACGTGACAAATGATTTTTATTTCAGAGTGAGGCAAGTCAAAGCACACTGAAAGTTTTCCAACATGGAGAGGGGTTGACAACTAATACGGTTCTCACACACACAAAACCTGTATCTGAATGTCCACAGCAACGCTCTTCACAATGGCAGAAATCAGAAACAATCCAATGCCCTTCCGTAGGGGAATGATTGAATAGCTGCGGTATGTCCATTCCAGAGAACACTACTCAGCCATGAAAGGAACGTGCTGTTGATACACACACAACTTGGATGGATCTCAAGGGAAGTATGCTCAGAGAAAGCCAAGCTCCAAAGCTCCAAATATAATAAATATATTATTCCATTTATATAACAAGATTGAACTGACAAAATTGTAGAGAGGTTGCTCAGGAGCTAGCAGGGAGGAGGATGGAAGTCCCAAAGGTTACAAAATGGTGGCATGAGGGACCCATGTGGTGGCACCTTTCTGCAACTTGAATGTGTAGTACACATGTCTACACATGTGATACAGAATCCCACACACTCGAGCATGTACAACTGGTGAAATCACCGCCAATTTTCTGGTTGTGATATTTATTCTAAAGCTATACAAGATGTTACTCAGGTACTCCTGAGTCAAGAGTACCCAGAATCGCTCTGTATTATTTCTTAAAGCTGCACATGAACCTACGGTGATCTCCAAATCAAAAGTGTTTTTATTTAAGTGTGAGGACTGCAAAGAGATTTTGCTAATGTGGGCTGGATCAATTGTTAGTACCATATTAGAAATTAAAATGGAGATATTTTTAAAGATGTATTTATCAGCTTAGCTTTTAAAAGGTATAAGCTTACATGTTAATGTAAATAAAATGTTTTCTATGAAAAATAGGCATACTTTCAAAAAACAGTGAGAAGAATGAACCTGATTTTACATGTTTATAAATCTCTTTAGTGTCTGGCTTCATAGACAACTGGAGCCTTGTGTCTGCTTCTGCATTATAATATGCTGTGATGTCATGCCTCATGCAGTCTCTGGAAAATTCCACTATATTCTCTGTGACAAATTTGAAAATGAAAAAAGCAAGTAATGTCTTAATATTATTATAAACATAGTTTTACCTCACAGATCCCCTTAATGGGTCTCGGGGACCCTCTCACCCCCCACTGGACATCACGGGGCTACACCTCAGAAATTCTTACATTATTGTGATCATTTGTCCACACATCTCTGGCACTTCGTGAGTTAGGGCAGGGGAGCATCGTTTTCATCTTTGTATTCTAAGCGCCTTGTACAGTGCCTGACATAAAACTGATACCCAATAAATATTTGATGAATCAATAGAATATTAATAACCTGCTAGACTTGAGAGAAATGGGGGGAGAGTTATTGCCAAACTGGTTGACAGCATACTGCTGGAGACTTCCAGTTCTGCATCAGATAAAGGTCAGAGTGTTCTGGTGTAGCTCGGCCCCACGGAACAAACATTGTTCTGAGAACACAGGAAGCTCCTGGGCATGAAACCTGGGTCTGCGATGACTGAGTGACCTTTTGAGAAAGGTCTTGCTGTGTCACAATCTCTCACATGTCATAACCTTGAGGCCTCTCCTGGCCCCTCTGACCAAGCATGCAGAGAAATGAATTTAGTGGCTTGTGCAAAGATGTACTAACTGCTTCTCTCCTGACATTATCTTCCCACTCCTCACTCCCTAGGTCACCCCCAAAGCACCCATTAGTGGCCAGTGTCAGTTCACTTGGTCCGCAGCTGCTCAGGGAAGAGGATGACAGTTTGTTTCTAGCCACCCTTTCAGATTGAGTTGGTTCTCAGCTCTCATCCAAAACACAGTTTAGCAAGGAGCACAAGAAAACACAGAAGCTGACTTACAACGGTCACTGAAAACTATCTGTGGGGATCTGTTGTACATTAGACACCAAGCCAGATCATTCCGGGAGCATTCTGCGTGATGAAACGTGACCCCTGCCTCGAGGCGCTCCCTTAAAGAGAGGAGACCTCAGTGCCTGCCAGTAACCAGGGGTCTGCGGTGGAATCAGCACCCAGTGAGCAGAAACCATCTTGCCAGGATCAGGGAAAGAGGGGGCATTTGATTTTGTCCTTGAAAGGAAGTCAAGGGCCGTTGCCAGGCAGATGGAGGAACGCACACCCCAAGGCATTAGATTAGAGAAGAGAGAGTCAGTGTGTTCACACAGATACAAGCCAAGTGGGCCAAATCCAATGGAAGCTTATGTCTTTTGTCATTATTAGGCTGTGACCCCACTGTGTCAGGGACCCACACCCCTTCCCTTCGGATGCCTTTCCCTCCCTTGGGCCTCTGTTGACAGGATCATTGCATGCGACTGCCATGTCTGTGTTCCAGCAGTGGAAGCCTTGTGCAGTCCTGGCACAAAACTGACACCCAATAAATATTTAATGAATCAATAGGATATTAAATGGGTAAGCAAAGGGGTAGGCATGCTTTTTCCTTCTGAGGACATGATTCCCAAGCAGTACCCTCTCCTCCTGCTCACATTCCAGAACATGGTTGCAAAGGAGGCTGTTTATCTGATGAATATGAAAACACTAGTACAAAAAGATGTCCAGAGCAGGCTTCTTCACAAGATGAAGAAGACATGGAATCGACCTAAAAGACTGATAAAAAAAACTGCGGCACCTATACTCGATGGAATACTACTTGCTACTAAAGGCCACTTCCCATGCCCTTTGTGACCATGGGAATGGAATGTGCAGTGATTATGCTAAGGGAAGTAAGTCAGAAGGTAAAGGACAATGACTGGATAGTTTTACTCATTTGTGAAATGTAGATAAACAAAGCAAAATAACTGGTAAAACACACCAAAAATACCTCTTAGACTCTGTGGGAAAGAGGGTGATTATCAGAGGGGAGAGGGGTGGACAGTGGGAGGAAAGGTGAGAGGGGTGAATTTGATAGCTTGGTGGGGGGTGAGTGTAGCATGTGCACATACGCAGGCGTGAAGCTCTGCCCCTGAAAATATAGAGTGCTGGAAATGAGTAGTAGATCAAAAAAAAATTTGATTTTATTAAAAATATGAGCTTCTGTGGCTGCATACCAAGTTGAGGGACAGTGAGAGATTTCAAGCACAGAGGTGAGGAAGTGAAGGGAGGTTTTAGAAGCTCTGGTATCTAGATGTGTTTAGAGGTTGTGGGGAGCAGGGGGAGATATACAGTGGGGAAAGGGGGGGGTGGGGTCAATGGTGAAATGGGACCAGTTCATTCTGCCAGTCAGTGACCCTCCACCTGAAGCCAGCATCGCCCAGGGCTTGCCACAGCCCAGGAACTGGATTCTCCTCCTCTCTCCCCTGCAGGGAGGCCCCAAATGTGTGCTGCTCACCAGTCAGTTCCCAGGTGTTGTGGGTGCTCCTGGTCCCGGAGGGGTGAGAATGTGCAGCCACAGGATGCTTGCAAAGGAGAGGGCGACAGCAAGGTCTGTGTTTCAGAAGCTGACTGTGTGGCTGTGGTAGAGAACCGGCTATAGGGAAGCTCACTGAAGCACTAGAGTTTTATCCAAGAAAAACAGGGATGATAAAGAGCCTGGAATGCAGGACACATGGAACTCTGCCCAAGGGCACCCCACTTCCTGGCAGGGCTGATGGCCCAGTCTCCAGCTCGCCCTACCACTTCGCTGCTTTGAATGCAGGAGCCTGGGTAAGGGTGGTGGTGGGCAGGGCCCCTTCCTCCCTGGGGGGTTTCTCCATCAGTAACAATAATGTAGACCATGGACTTATGGGGTGCCAAGGACCGTTCATGGCACAGATCAAATGTCAGACAATGTCCTTAGGCTGCAGGGACTTGTGCACGTGTCTGCCCTGTGTATTGGAGAGTAAATTGGCTTAGACTCTGAAAAGCAATTTGACAATCAAAACAAAATTTTGAATGCCCCTACCATTTGCCCCAATAGGCAATAGTTCCATTTCCAGGAATTGAACCCACAGATACACTCATGTTCACATGCAAAAGAAGGGTCATTCAATGTTTGTTGCTTGTACAGGCAAGAGATGGGGAAAAGCTATTATCTCCTGCAGAAGCTGGTGACATAAACAATGGAGGAGCATCCAAATCTGGAATCACGGGCAGTCCTTCGTGATAATCTTACACTGATAAATATAGATGCAGAAATAGATCTCTCTTGATCTCTCTCTCTCTCTCTCTCCCCCCCTCACATTCGCCTCACCCCCAGAAGCCTTGATTTATAAGGTTTGCCAATTTCCATGGCTTACATGCTCCTGCCAGGGCTGATTTCAAGTTGCTGAGCAGAGCAGGGAAAAGCCTCGCACAGTTAGTTTTCAGGAGCCAGAAAATCCAGCGCCAGCCCCGTCAGGCACCCCACAGCCCAAGGAAGCTTCCATCGACTCTTCCATCTCAAACCTAAAGAGGCTGCTTTTCAAGAACAAATAATAATGTCGGCAAATTTTTAGGATTTGCTTCAGGATCTAAAGAAGAGGAGCTTCCAGGGATCTTCAGAGACAATTCCTGAGGCAATCATTTCAAGTGTAAACAACCCGCCTTATTTTACAATGGATTTGAAACAGAAACCCAGAAATTAAAATCAAGCATCTGGGTTTTATGTTCACAAATTGTTTTGCCAGTCTCTTTATGAAATATTGCACACAGTGATACCAGCAGAAGGCAATAAAAGAATAATAAATTAATCAGTGTTAGCATTCTGTCCACATAGCCCACATACTTCCCAGGGCCAGAGATCTCAAGGAGGAGGGGGGTCAGAGACTTTCCCATGACAGGCATGTAGCGAGAGTGTCCCACGGATGAGGGGCAGCTTGTCGCCCCCTCTGCCACTCTCAGGTGCCATGGGCAAGCCATCGCATCTGAGTCTGAGCCTGCTTGTGTGCCCAGGGCGCAGCCTGCTGTGCAGGCCATTTTGCCAGGCTGAATACATGATATTACATGGACTGCATACCTGGATGTAAAGCAGGGTGCTTCCCCCAAAAAATTATCCCTCAGAAGGAAGTGAGTTGACTTATATTTAAATTCTCAGGAAAGTTTGCAGATCTTTCATCTTCCCAAGACTCCCCCAATTACTCTCATTTAAATTGCCAAGTATTGGGCCTCCCTGGTGGTGCAGGGGTTAAAGTCTCAGTGCTATCAAGCTATGGCCAGCCACTGTTGCATGAGTTTGTTCCCTGGCCAGGGAGCTGACCCCCATGGCTCAGCAGACCTCTCCTGTCTTGCCCACTGCTCCCCTCAGCAGCGTATTTCAGTAGATCTGCCTGTTCTGCTCCCTGCTCTGTCTCTGGTGAATCCTCTCACCCCCTGCACCTCTGGCCTACACCCTAGTACTTGTATGCATAAATAAATAAAAATAAATATTTTAAAAAAATAAACAGCCAAGTATTATTTGCAGAGGACCCATTTCTAGAAGTTACCTGAAGGAAGTGGTAAAAATTTTTTTGACACAGGTGCAGTCTTTGTACTGGGGTTGACCTCATACACCTTTAAAGATGCAAGTCTTACAAAGGAAACTTTTAAAAGCAGTTCATTAACTATTAGGACATTGTGTTCACAAATACAAATCAATAGGACGAGTGGAAAAACAATACTGTCCTAAGATTAAGTGAATTGGGGCTTTGAGGATAAACCATTTCAGTGACAGCATCATAGAAAGGCTTAAACAGCACTGGATCACAATTTAGACAATTTAGATAGGAGTGAAATTGATGTGATCTAGAAAATGACTTGGGTGATTCAGAAACCTTACCCAGTGATAACTAAGAACTGAGATCAAAGACATGTATGGAATAAAATTGTTTTGTACAATGCTAGAGTGGAAAAAATATTCTATTTTTTTTAAGATTTATTTATTTATACATACAACATCTGGGGTGCAAGCCAGAGGTGCAGGAGGGTGAGAGGATTCACCAGAGACAGAGTGGGAGCAGAACAGGCAGATCTACTGAAATACACTGCTGAGGGGAGCAGTAGGCAAGACAGGAGAGGTCTGCCCTGCCATGTGGGTCAGTTCCCTGGCCAGAGATCGAACTCATGCTGCAGTGGCTCCAGATAGCTCCATATTGCTGAGACTTAACCCCTTGCACCCCAGGGAGACTCCAACAACCTCAATATTTCTGAATGAATGTAATTAATTAATCTATCATGTATAATATATTTAAGTAATATATTCATAATCTTCAAATTTTGTGCATAACTAAAATAATGAATTAAATATCATACATTTGATTTTTCATCTACAACCTTCAGAATTTGTACGTTCAAATGGGCTTACCCCCCTCCCCCAAATATTTTCTTTCTTGCAATTGTCTCATTGTGAAAAATGAGAGGGTCGCTTTATATTTGGAACCACCAAACACAGGGACAAGCATGTACAGGCACTTAACACTCACCACACTCTGTGTGATTTGTAACAGGTACTGTCCCGGTTGTTAACACTATTTTTACTAAGATGGTGATATCACAAATTGGCTCTTGTGATATCCCACTTACAGGTTGGAATTCCCTGATCTGCTAAGTCCTACTTATGTGACCTCGGGCAATTTGCCTGGCCTTTCTCGGCCTCTGCTTCCTCATCTGTGAAATAGAGACAACAATAGTCTCTTAAAATCTTAAGAATTCAGCAAATTGGGGTATGTAAGCAGTGTTTGAACAGTGCCTGGTAAGCTCTGCTTAAAGGTTATTGTCACATTTCACCAATAGAGAACTGTAACTATTTATAACCATGACAGTTTTTTCCTCACAACGCAGTGAGATTTTTACCACCAGGGAACTTGTCTTATTCACCCCAGGATCTGCAGCTCACACATAGGACCTAACTCCCTGGAGATGTTGGCTGAGTCAAGAATAAGTTCTCTAGAGGAGGGCAGTGTGTGTGGTGCTAGGGTCAAAACTGAAGCTGGTTCCTGTTAGATGAAACAGGCAATTCTTTGAGGGTAACACCACGGTGCAGTCACATTTCTCACTGGCCAACCAAATTCTGCAGTAAAGTCCTAGTGCAACAGGGCTGGAAAGAAACTGCAGGCTGGGTAGTGCTTTCTTCGTCTTCTCACTAGACCTGGTATTCCTCCAGGACCTGCAATCCAACAATCAGGAGCTTAATCCATAGATGAGCTATGTTCTACATCATTACACATTATTTTTAACTGAATTTACTGCTTTTTCATATCTAAAAAAAAGTACTTAAAACACATGCATAAAAACTTGAAATCAACTAATGATAAGGGACTGATCACAAAGATCTGCAAAGAGCTGACGAAACTCAACAAAGTAAACAACCTAGTCAAAAAATGGGCAGAAGAGCTAAAAAGACACTTTTCCAAAGAGTAAATGGAAATGGCCAACAGGTATATGGAAAACATGTTCAACATCACTCGTAATCATGGAAATGCAAATCAAAACCACCATGAGATACCACCTCATACCAGTGAGACTAGCACATATCAAAAAAATACAGCAACAACAAATGTTGGCGAGGATGTGGAGAAAAAGGAACTCTCCTGCACTGCTGGTGGGAGTGCAAACTGGTCCAACCACTATGGAAAGCTGTGAAGTTTCCTCAAACTGCTAAAAATGGAGCTTCCATATGATCCAGCAATTTCAGTCCTAGGTATCTACCCAGAGGACACAAAAACACTAATTCAAAAGGATACCTGCACCCCTATCTTTATTGCAGCACAATTTACAATGGCTAAGCTATGGAAAGAACCCAAATGCCCAAAAATAGATGACTGGATCAAGAAGATGTGGTACATATACCCAATGGAATATTACTCAGCAATCAAAAAAGATAAAGTCATGCCATGCACAACATGGATGGAGGTGGAAAGGATCATGCTCCGTGAAATAAGCCAGAAAGAAAAAGAAAAATACTGGATGGTTTCACTTATAGGAGGAATGCAGAGGATCCAAATAAGGGATCAGGTAAAAAAAAAAGTAATTATAATAAAGTAAAAATCAAAATCATTAGGCAACTATAAACCAGATACATTTTACAGAGGGGAAGAAGGGAGTGGGATCAAAACAGGGGAGGGGAGAGCACAAGGGACTATGGTGATGGCACACGGGTGAATTGGTGGTGGGAATTTCACAGGGACTGTAACCAAGATGAGAAAGCATATAAAAATGAAGAATTGGGGCCTCTCTGGTGGCACAAGGGGTTAAGCACAGCACTATGAAGCAATCCGCAGCCTCTGCAGCATGAGTTCGATTCCCAGCTGGCCAGGGAGCAGCAGACCTCTCCTGTCCACATGGCGCAGCAGACCTCTCCTGTCTCGCCCGCTGGTCCCCTCAGCAATATATTTCAGTCAGTCTGGCTATTCTGTTCCCCACTCTGTCTCTGGTGAATCCTCTCACCCCCCCCCCACACCTCTGGCCTGTACCCCAGTTCTTGTATGCATAAATAAATAAATCTTTTTTAAAAATGAAGAGTTGTACAAAAATGAAGAATGATGTAAAAATATATTTAAAAAAATAAATAACTAAAAAGTTGAAATCAGACAAAAATGTTGAAAGT